GGGCGGGCGGGCGGGCGGGGGGGTAACAGAGCTGCCGTTGAGCCAGACTTTGCATTTCCCTAGAGCTCGTTCTCCCGGCACACAAAAGAAGCGCGGCAAGGAGGCTGACTTTGGCGAAACCTGCCACCGCGTCCACGACCCCCTTCTAGCGCCGCCGTGCCAGGAGGGGCTGCCCTGGACCCGAGGCGGGCGGGAGCCTTCTGCGGGGTGGGCCTCCCCCGCTGCGCCGCCGATCTGGCCAGAGGGCCTCCTTCGCCTCCCCGCCTGCCTCGCCAGAGAGGGACTCAGGGCCGTGGGCCGTTGATCGGTGTCGATGCACAACTAGGGCAACCGGACTGTCGGGCCAGGCTCAACTGTGCCGATCGAAAGCAACCGGTTAAATTCTCTGTCTTGCATTTCAGTCGGAGTCCCGCTGCCGGCGATATGAATGGGGCTTGTTCCAAAGAGATTGGAGCGTCTCATTGAAGCGGGTTTTAGTGCGGGGGCTGGGCCCCGGACTGGCGGCCCTTGCGCTTACCTAGAATGTGGGGCGCTGCTGGAAACGGGACTCCGAAGCGCGCAGCAGCCCCGCACGGTCGGGGAGCCAGGCGCATTCTGAGAGAGACACGACGGACTGCTTGACATGTTCCGTGGCTTTGTCGGAGAATGCCAGATCCCAGAAAGCGACCTGAGGAGGCCCAGGTCCTAATCCACATCTCATCTCTGATTTTGGCAAACCTTCCTGTACTTTCCCTGTCCATAATTAAGCCATGGGTTGAACTATTTGCAGGCGGTAATCCTAGGCTCGCTTACTCGAGAGTAAACGAATTCTGTGGTTTGCTTCCGAGTAAATAGCCACAAGACCGGGTGTACTGCCCAATCATGAGCATGTTTGCTCAGAAACAAGTGCCACAAAGGGCGATATGATTTATTCAGTAGCAGTTCTCTTTAGGTCTATAGTCTTAACAACAACAACAACAACACCCCCCCCCCCATTTCAGTTTTGTACACTGAGATTCTCATTGTTTTCAAGCACAGAAGAACCACGGGCATCTGAAACAAATTTAAATTAGAGATGGCTGACGATGAGCTATAAGGGAATGGGTATTAGATTCTTTTTTAACGCTTAACTGCAACATAATTATTTCCAGTGAATTTTCTCTCCTGAATTGCGCCTTGTTAATTTCACGCCTCAGGTACAAATCCAGTCCGCCCGCCTCGCTCCACCGTGCTGAGAAACAGCTGGCTGCCCGCGATCCGAAGGGGCGACTCTCAAATGAGCTGTTTCTGCGGGCATAATGGGGCTTGAACGTCTGATGTGTGTCCCCCCCCCAGGTCGCACTGAGGGTCAGAGTTTGGCACTGGGAAACCCGAGTTCGGATCCCCACTCGCTGTAGCGGCCTCCGAACTTCTCGGTTTCCGGGCTGCAATAGAAATGTCCTCAACAAAGAAACGAGGGACAGCCCTAAACATCTTCCTTTTAATTTCAAGCGAACCAAGTTATGTTCAAGACGTTTGTTCGGGATAGGTTGCTTGCTAGCAATGCTCCCTCTAATCTGTGGAATCTTGTGAGCAAAAATTCGACTTTGTGAGCTACTGGCCTTAAAGTCATGAGCGAGCAATTTGCCTGCTGCATAAATTAGTTTTGTCTGGAGCCATCCTTCCTGAGCCAAGACAAAAATGTGTGAGCCAGAGGCTAAAAAACTGAACTAGCTCACACTAACTCAGCTTAGAGGGTCCGAGTGGCTTGCAGAGTGATTTGTAAACAACACAAAGAAAGCCACACTGAGTCCGGAGTACTATCCCTGATCTCTTGTGGGACCCGCAGCCCCGGCGATGCCGAAGTAAGCAGTTCAGACGCTGCAGCAGCATGCACTCTGTAACCCCAGGGATTCATTCAATAGACTTGAAATCGACGTCGATCCCGTTTAACCGACCACCTTGCCTTCCTCATACAATGGAAGTGTTCAATTGTTCCCCGAGAACCCTTGTATTCCACGCCAAACAACCTACATATTCTTATCTTAACTCCAATGGGATTTGCCTTGTGGTAAATCGTCTTTGAGGGGACGGGGATTTCTCTCGTAGCCTCTGTGAGTGTGCAATTGAGGTAGATCGTGGGGGGGGGGGGGGGCAGCCCGGAGAATGTCACCCTCAGAACAGCCTTACTCGCTCTTTGACGAGCCAAGATCTCCCTCCCCACTCTCGCTCCCTCTTATTGGGGTTTCTTCTAGGGGGAAATACAGCCCACATCTGTCAGATTTAGGTAGAAACGCCGGCACTCCTCCTTCTGCAACAAAACCCCTGCCGTTGTCCGGGTGTTGGACTGAGTGTTTTCAACTTGTAATACCCAACACCAGGCCTCCTCCTCCTCCTCTCCTCCCACCCCGTCTACGATCCTAAAGCAGACTCCTATCGCAGCCGTGTAGCTTCAGTATGGTGTAAAACGTCTCCTTCACTAGCCTCTACAAAACCACGGAGCGCGAAAAATCCGCATCCAACCCGGCGGGGGGGGGGGAGGAGTTGGGCGACTTTAGACGAATCTCGCCCATCAGTTTGAATGTCAAAAGCAATTCAGTTTCTCTCGATACTTCGAATTTGCTTCAAAAAACCCCCCCCCCCCCGCCGCCATTCTGGAAACGGAGATATCTGCAGATATGCGACAGTTACTGTTCCCTTTGCAGTACAGACCATCGCCCCCTTCTAGTTAGGTTATGGTTTATTTTTCAATTTTGGGGGGCTATCGATGTCCTTTTATTTTCAGTTTCAGGGAGATGCCTGTGTAATTCCGAAGTCTTGCTTCTGTAGCCTGCTGTTGAAAACCAGCTTGGTCCAAAGACAATCCTTTTGCCAGTTCGATGCTTCCTTCCTGTCCTAATGAAGACAAAACAAGGCGGATCTTTAGTGAGGGAGCCGCGATCCTCAAGGCAGTTGGATTGTTCTTTCCAAACGCGCCACTGGCTCTAGAGGAAGCCGGAGTCAATCAACCAAGTAAGCGGTCTGCAAATGGCAGATAAGCTTGGCGTGCAAGTCAGGCGTCTTCTTAATGGGGATCTGGCGGACTAAATCGCATTTGGGAGTTTTGTCGCAAAGAGACTCTATCCAGGGCCGGCAGGAAACCTCCCCCCCCCCCCCCCACCTCTGCGGCGCACCCCCCCCCCATATCTCTCGGGCACTTTCAAATAATACTGCAGATACACAGAGCATCCTAGTGCTGAATTAACTGTTGTGGACTTAATTTATTCAGATGTGATGATGGCTTCAACACTAGAATAGACACATTTCATAGTCTATCAATGGCTATTGGGCATCGAACCTCCATGTTTAGAGGCAGTATATCTTTGAATACTAGATGCTGGAAACACCCGACAGGCAAGGTCGAAGCTTTGGTGAAATTCTTATTTATTTTATATTGATTTATTTTGACACCTATGGGCTTTTCTCCCCGTCCCCCCCCCCCCGCGCCTGGCTCACAAAATGTGTCTATTAAAAGATAATATCCATAAGGCACCATTACGCAATTTAATCGCAGTACATTCCTAAATTAAAACGCCAAATAAAAACCAAAAGCATGAACAGCTATCTTTCTCTGCGCAGAGGGCGTCTGGCTGGCCATTGCTGGAGGAGTGCTCTGTTAGACGGGCCGCTGGTCTGACCCAGCAAACCGCGTGGTGACCTGAATAATCTCCACTATTGGAGTGGTCGATGCCGAGTACCAGGGTCGTCCGCATTGTCATGCGATGTGGAAATGAAGGTCAGGACGACGGGGGATCTTCTTTCTAAACTGCTTCCCCACCCCCCACCCCAGACTTGTGGCGGGTGCGAAGTATGCTTCCACACGCCCAACACCTGGGCCTAGTCACAGACAAACATCTAGTTGCATCACAGGCTACGAATTTCCACGTGAACTTGACGCGTGCAGACTGGAGAACCGAAACCAGAGATGCTGTCCCGTCGTCTCTCACCTGAAGCCTCCCCGACTCGCTTATAACAATAATCAGTAAAAAGAATTCAGCTAACGAATTGCGTGAATGGATGAGTCCGAGCTGGCTGGAAATCACTCAGCTTCCAACATGCCTCGTCTAAGAATAACAGAATGAGGGACGCAGAGAAACCGTGTTTTTATTAGAGGGAAAACAGACCGCTCCGCCCGTTTGCGTGCAGCTGCAGGCCGTGTCTCAGAGCCGCCGGGCGAAGCCTTCGGGGCCCGTCCGTTTCCCAGCCCTTGAGGGTCAGGGCGGAGAGCCTCTCCGAAGGCGAATCCTCGGAGCTCCCCTAGTCCCCAGGCCCGGTCGTGTCCCCCCACCCCCCACCCCGCTTCTCCCTCGGGCACCTTCAGGCACGCGGTGGGAAACCAGCCCTCATTTCCTGATCGGCCCGGGGACGGAGAGGGTGGCAGAAGAGAGTCGTGACTCCCCTCTTGAGCCGCCGCCGCCCCTTTGGCTTGGCCGCAGCCGTCGCGGCTTCTTTTGTGTTCTCGGTTGGCTGCCGTGTGGCTCGGTCAGGACACCGATGGGAGACTTAAGAGGACGGAACGGCGGCAGCGCCTTCCTTCCCTCGGTCTTGTTCGGCGGCTGCTTCTCTTCGGGTGGCTCCGCACCAGGCCTCGGCATGGCTGGGGAAGGACCCGGCCAGATGGAACCCAAACCGGGTCTAGGGTAGAAAGCGGGAGCTGCCCTTGCCGAAAACGGGTTCTTTTCTGGCCGTTGTCGCGAATTTGGCTGCGTGACTCACCTCGGTGCTTAGCGGCTGAAAAGCAAGCCCTCTGCAGAACCCCAGAAAAAGACCGGTCCTCCCGTTCCGCTCTCCCTTCCGGGAGATGTGTAGAGTCACAATATTATTTTAACCTTCCTTACAGACATAAACGCAATGAAGTGCAGAAGGGGAGATTTCATGTCAGGAACGGTGCAGGTTTTGCTATTGTTTGTAATGCCGAGCCTCGTTTTCACGCGGTTCGCCTTTCGCCCCGCTCCCCCCCCCCCCCTTTCTTTTTTGGGCAATCTTTCCCACCCCGGTTCCCAGCCAGAGGCTGCAGGAGACCGGCGCAGCCGAGAAAACCTCTCTTTTTACTCACCATTTGCTTTTCTTTGGTGACAATGACTGGAGCCATTTTGAGGCTGGATATATTTATTTATATAACTCTATTTCCCGCCTCCCTTTGCTGTAAAAAAGAGAGAGAGAGAGAGAGAGAGGAGAAGAAGAAGAAGAAAAAGAAGAAGTAGGGCTGGGTGGCTTCACAGCGCCGGGATCTCATTCCCACCACATCACGTCCAGTTTCCTATTTAGTATGGAGAGCGGAACCCTGGAGCAATGTGGCCGAGAGAGATAAGGCGCCGGCAATGGCCCGCCTGCCCTGATAAGCCCCTAAACCCATTATTTATGAAATGATTCATTATTATTTGGCAATTTTATCGAAGGAAAGCGGAAAATTATTGCTGGGATCTGCAGAGAGAGAGGGGGACTTTGGAATGCACGCCTTCCAGCTTTGTGTTTGTGTGTGAGTCTAGAGGGTGTGTGCTTTTAAAAGACGACTGACTAGGGAGAGAGAAGGAAGGAATAAACTATTCGCCAGGAGTCGGACGGCCCCCATTTGAATAACGAGCATTTCTTTTGGCTCTCTTGGAGGTTATTATCCTCCCCTGTGT